TAATGACAGAAATTTCATTTTTGGGTGAACTAACCCTTCAAATGGTCACCAACAGGTAAATGAATAAACAAATTGTAGTTTATTCATACTAAAAAAAAAAAAAAAAAAAAAAAAAAAAAAAAAAAAACATTACTGATACACGCAACAACATGGATGGATCACAAAAGCATTACACTGAATGAAAAAAGTCAAATGCAAGTTAAATACTGTGATTCCAATTCTATGACATTCTGAAAAGGCAAAATTATAGAAGACATCAGATCAGCGGTTGCCAGGAACTAGGCGTGCAGGAAGGGACTGAATAAAAATGGGCATGAGGAACTTGTGGGGCGATGGAAGTACAGTAAAACCTTGGATTGCGAGTAACATGGTTTGCGAGTGTTCCGCAAGACGAGCAAACATTTCTAATACATTTTAACGTGGTAAATGAGCGATGTCTTGCAATACGAGTAGTTTGTTTCTGGAATGAATTATGCTCGCAAACCAAGGTATTACTGTCCTCTGTATCTTGATTATGATGGTGGTTACAAGACTAATATATATGCTAAAACTCATCAAATTACACACTTCAAAAAGGTAGGTTTTACTCTATAAATTATACTTCAATAAATCTGATTAAAAAGAGGCAATTTACATGTTAGCATCCAGCACATGAGTAAAGAGAGGTTTGCTCTTGTCATAGCTAGGACCTAAAAGGGCTGTTTCAAGAAACAGATTCTGTCCATGAAACTATGCCAAATGGAACCCTTTTGGGTTTCCAGATCCATTCTATCCTCAGTGTTAGAGTCCTTTCTGAGTAGTTTAGGGCTGCTAAGACCTTCTTATTTTTTTTATTTTTTTTAAGATTTTATGGGGGAATTTGGGGAGAGGAACAGCGTTGGGGAATCGGGGAAGAAGAACAGACAAATTGCTGTCCTTTTGATCTTCAGTCTAGTTGTGGAGGACGCCACTTCACTAGCCCATGTTGGTATTATCATTGCGCTTTTCCTGGGTGAGGCAGTCACTCGCCGGCCATTGGATGGCTGCTCACGGCAGCTCACGAAAGCTCACACCCACTGCCAGCCAGCCCCACTACAGCCTATGCCATCGCCAGTGGCTCACAGCAGCCCAGCTCCAGGTCAAGCTGTTGTTCACCATCTTAGCTGTAGAGAGCGCAGCATCACTGGCTCTCATGTGGGATCTGAACCGGGGCCCTGCTGCTCAGAGCTGGTGCCCCAAGCTAACTCCTAACCAATGCACCACTCGGCTGGCCCTGTATTCTTAAAACAATAATTATAATAAACAAAATCCTAGATTTCTCAAATTGAATTAGGCCCTAAAGATGAGAAGAAAACACAGACTACTAAAAGGCGTATAATCAGCTCAATATTAGCCATCCAGTGGGAAGGCCAGGAACTCTCAATATATGGAACTGTTTCCTGGTGCTGTATTCTTTACCATCTCCTCTCTCCCCTATTTCTGGCTGCATGCTTAAGGTCTTCTCTCAACAAGAAGTTCCTGAGCAAACAATGTGAGGATAAGCGGCTAGTCTGTTTTCATGAACCACCTCAGCCACCTCTTACCTCTGTGGTCAATATCATCAGTGTCACTGTCTGCTTCCTCGTCCTCTTCATCCAAGGTTCCCCGAGTCAGGATCAAGTCAGAAGGGTCCCGCGCAGGAGATAAGCTATCTAGAGAGAAAACACCAGTGGCATGTCATGAACACATGCCTCCTCAAAATGGTGATTTTGAATCAGTAAGTAACTATGCTTATAAATTTGACAGGATGAAAGTGACTATGACACAATGCAGGATCCTACCTCTTCTAAATGTATTGGTGATGCCACTTAACATTTCTATAGTCGTTTAGTTCACAAAGCGCTTTCACCATCCTAATAACCCAAGATCTCATTTTTACACTGAGGAAAAGAATTCTCATAGCTTATCTTGGTAGGAACATGTTTACTAGCTTACAATTTGGATGAGACTATGGTTTTTTTTTTATGAAGGCTGAAAACATTTGAGCAAATCCATTGTGCTGGTGAGTCAAGGGGGAAAATGGGGAGCAGGGAGGAAGCATCCTAGCAGAAATTAAGTTCAGAGAGGGTCTGAAGAGAACAGGGGTGAAATGATCTAGAATAGAGGAGCCAGAGTACTATTCAAAAATAAGAGGGATAGGGGGAAAAATGGTTAACAGACCGATGTATCTCACACCATACCCAGAAATAAACTCTAAATACAGAAAGTACTAATACATATAAGTACTAGGATAAAACATGAGTGAATTCCCCTTAACAGAGGTGTAGGTATAAAGGATTCCCAACTGTGACTCAAAATCCAATTGCAATAAAAGATAAATAAATTCGACAACATCAAAACAAAATGAAAACTTTTGCATGGCAAAATAACACCATGAACAAAGTCAAAGGACAGCTGACAAAGGGGAGAAAAATATTTGCAACATGCATCACAGAAAACTGGATTCTCCCCGTACTCCATCAATGGGTATTAAAACTAGTGAGTTAACATTTGAATGTTAAAAAAATATTTATATAGTCTCCAAGCCTCAACCCCACAAAAGGGGTTTACGAAGGGAAAAATAATAACTTTACGATGGAAAAACCTGGAAGACACCACTTCAAGCAAGTGATCAAAGTTAACATCACCAGTAGTGAAACAAATCAAATCATGTGCCTCCTAGTATGATGTATGGAAAAAAACACAATTTCATTTTTGTAAAGTTCTGCCAAAAATGCACCACCTGAATCAAATTATGAGGAAATATCCAAAAATACCAATTGTGGAACATTCCATAAAATAACTGCCCTGTACACTTCAAAAATGTCAATGTCACGAAATACAAAAAAAAAAACTAAGGAACCATTCCAGATTAAAGGAAAATAATTATTTTAAAAAATAACAAAGTAGACATCAAGTATCTTGCCAAAGTAAAGCAAAAACTCCCTGAAAAGGAAGAAACCAAAATGATATAGTTGCATTCAACTTTCAGGTTTGCTTTTCCAAATCATTATATATACATATATATGTAAACAATAAAAAGTAATATACATATATAAATGTAAAATGTACATATATAAATATAATACATATAAATGTGAATATGGATAGTGAATGTGGCAAATACAAAGAAAGACTAAAGAACCATTCCAGATTGAAGAAGGCTAAGAGACATGACCCTAAATGCAATGCAGATCCAGATAGATAGATCTAAAATGCCACATTTACTTTATCCTTTTTTCTCTCTCTCTTAAATATAAATATCTCCCTGCTAAGTAGAAATAGAGTACCTTCCTTTTAGTTCCTAACACCAAGAGACCCTCCAGTACCTGTGGCAGTCCCTGAGTCCAAGGCTACAGAGCCCATATCTTTCCGAAGGCGTTCCAGTTGTTCTTTCTGCTGCCGGCTCTGTGCACTGGCCTGTACAGAGAGGGATGTATCATCATAGTCAAAGAGGAGCCCCAAGTGAGATGCCAGATTTCTAAGTGGAAATGAGTGATTACACAAATACTAGAGACGACTACAATAAAACACGGAGGCAGGTAAGCGATAGCTGATATGGGGACAGAAACACGGAGTAGTGTGGGCCCAGATTAGCAGAAGTTCAGGCTGGAGGGCTCTGCAGACTGAATCAGAAGTTTCAGAAATAGGACATAAAAACACATCAAAAGAACCCTCAAGTAGACACAGCAGGAAGGCTCGGTGATAAGGAGCCCAATGCAGCCGTTGGGGACAGGACACCTGACCACTTGGAACATAGTTGTGAACCCCCACTCTGTTCCTCAACAAAATGCTACAATTAGTCTTTAAATGAGTAGCGGTGGGGGTGGGGCACAATAAGGACTTAGCATGTAAAACAGGAAAAACCTGATTTTTAAAACTTCAAATAAAGAGAAGAAAAATAAGGGGCCTTTCTGCATCCAAACAGCACACATAGAAATTTACAAATTTAAATTAAGAAATATCTAAAAGATACATTGATGGCCAAAACAAAAGTATTAATGGCAGGAGGATCAGAACATAGTTTGAGGTTGTTTTTTCAGTGGCCCTGAAATACACAAACAGCCTCCTCTCTTACCAGTGATTTCTTCAGACGTTCATATTCAGGTCGATACTCCCTGGAAGAGAAACACCTTCTAAATTCCTATGCTTAATAATCCCTCCTGCCCACCTCCATATCACTTCTATTTTCCTAGGACTCCGACAATAAAAAAGGACCTTACTTCACTAAACATCAGACATAAGTGTCACTCACTGAGATCCTATCCCTATGGAATTAAAAGCCAAAGCACCTGCCCTTACCCTGAAACTAGAAAAAAAAGTCTGACTGCTGGGCTAAAGATTAACTCTGAAGACCGTGACTGATGAGCTTATCATTCATTTGGATAAACATTTGAGATGAATAAAAGAGGCTTGGCCTAGTAGGTCCCAGAAGCCCAATATATAATTACAGGGTTTATCAGATCAACAATGAAAGTATACAAAACAGAGTCTAACCTGAGACTTTGATATCACACACACACACACACACACACACACACACACACACACACACACACACACACACACACACCTTCTGATGAATCAAAATAAAAATAATGTGTCTGAAAACCACAATGCGGTTGTTAAGATCTTGATAAGTATGAAGCCAAAGCAGCATGCTAGTAAGCAGCCAATTAACAGGCTACAGGCCTAAGGAAAGTTTCTACTGCTGACTCCACTTTCCTTAAGGTAAACGGAATTCCAGTATTAACCACAACAACTGTAACAACCATTTATTATGAAATGTGCTTACTGTGAGTACGAGTCAGCAATTGCACTAGGTGCTTTACATGTTTTCTTAAATCATCCTCATAATGACCTTGGCAATAAATGCTATCATCCCTGATCTACAAATGATGAAAACTTGCTAAGGTCACTCATTTATTAAGTGGAGGAAACAAATCCAACTCATACCTGTCTGACTCCAAAGTCTGTGTTCTGAATCGCGGGTCAGCCCATGCGGCAAACGGGCCAAACCAAGCCTGCCGCCTAGTTTTGTAAATAAAGTTTTACTGGAACACAAGCGTGCCCACTCATTTCCAAACTGTCTGCTGATGCTTTTGTGCTACAATGACAGAGTGGAGCAGTTGCAAAAGAGATCGTATGGCCCACAAAACATAAAATATTCTGGATTTTTATCAAAAAAGTCTGATGACTCCTGCTCTTAATCATTTAATACAGTGAAGATTTTATTAGATTCCTGTTTTTTTTAAAAAAGTTAATGGGGACTTGTTACCACTAGGTGTGGTCAGATCCAGTACACATATACATGGCAAATACATACACTATGAAAACCAAAGATTTGCCTGGCAAAACTGCTATCATATCAGAATTGTGGGTTACTAAGAATGTCATCAATAGGATTTCCCATTATCCTCACCTTTCATATTCTTCTGCAGCACTGGTGACTTGCACAAAGAATTCATCCAAGCCTGTACCCGCAACAGCAGACACACCCACCACCTGCCAAAAGCCACATTAATACCACTGAGGAAACAGATGTATATTTTTAAATGGAGGATATTATTTTGTTCAAATGGTATACAATCTTCATAAAAGAACTTTCAATACTTCAAGAAGTTTCTGGCAAACAGTAAAGCTAAAACAAAACAAAACAGCATGCCTACTCAAAAGTCACGGAAATAAGCCTATGGAAAATAGAAAACTGAAAAAGAAAGAGAATTAGAATCAAACGAGTAGCAGGACTTTTCATCTATTCCCTAGCAAATCAAACCACTGCCTGTTCTCTATAAAAATTTGCTTGGGCAATTAACATACTCTCTGCCACCCATACCCACTTTGCTTATACGAATCTTACCCTTCCTTCAAAGCATACCTCTAATGCTATATCCTCCAAAATCTCTCATTTTAAAAGTGATCTGCCTTCTGACCTCCATCAGGCCCAACTTCCAATCTTTCTTAAGGTACTTACCACAATATATCACGTTTCAAGTCTGTGTGCAGTCTTCTCTTCTAACTAGACCATAAACTCTCTGGGGGTAGGGTCTCTATCTTATTTATCTTTTAAACCTCCAGTTTTTAATAGGTAATGCTTTAAAATTTGCTTTTCAGGAGGTCATGAACTTCCTAAGATGGTTCAAAGCCAGCCCTACAGGTTAAAAGTTCATCTGGAGAGACTGTCAGAATGAGCAGAAGAGAAAATTTACCCTTAGTGAGCTGTAAAACTCATCCAACACCAGGCTCATTGAACGGGTCAGGTTACTGACGTATGTAGTCTCTTGATTCAAAGCATCTTGGAAAGCCTCAAAATCTTGCATCCACTCCACTGCAAAGCTGTGATCAATGATGTCAGTCTGTACCAGAGAGAAGTCAACTGTCAGCAATCAGAGATGAGTGTAGACATCAAACAATGACCAAAACAATTTTTTTAAGTGGTGACAGAAAAAAGCAGTCATTCTTATATTTTCCTTCTCTGCTTCCCCCATTTCCTCCTCCACTGCAATAAGCCACAAAGACCCAAGACTGTTGTATTGTGTAAATAATTAAATGAAGATATGTGTTCTCTTGAATGAAGGAGACCCTTCACTATCCACTGCCAATTGACCACGGCCACAGTGGATGCCAGCATATTCCAGGCCCTGAAGTCAAGCAGTCTCATTTATCCTGGCCATCAACCAACAGGGAAGTTTTGTTTTTGTCTGTTTTGCTACTTCCAATACACTAGCAGTTCCTTTCCCCTGCTCCCCTCCTTACACAATCTTGATTCTGAGGGATAATCTATATGCCGTAATTAAGGGGTTGCTCTATCTAGGCTAAAGTAACTGAATGAAAGTCAGTGATAAATATTCATTTAATTTGATTGATCTTCCCAGAAATGCTCATGACTTTGTTTCAGTTAAGCTTGAATCTGTTCCCCAGCATCTGAAATAATCCTTGTCACCTACCTAAATCTTCCGATAACACAAGGTTCTGATGAAAAAGAAATACAGTACAGAATCACAACAGTAAGGATCACTTACTTTATTCATGACCACAATGAAAGGCAGCTTGGTTTTGTACAAGATGCTGAAAATCAAACATCAAGACATTAGCAAAGGCACTTAAGCTCTTGTTTACCCAGTGTCCGTCTGCTGGAATTGAATCAAAAGAACGGGAATGGGTTCAAACTCTAAATATAGGTATCCATTCTTACCTGGCACATATTCTCCTCCCCCAAGAGGCAAACCGTCACCACCATCAAACAAACACATACACACATACTCTCCCTCTTCTTGGAGTAATGTTGTTTGGCTACTGATCCTGTTTTCTCAGAGACTTTTCTCACAGAAAACAGGATCAGTAATAAAGCATTATTACTCTCAACAACCAAACAAAAAAATTGTCTTTTAAACAATTAATATGAAAATGAACAAATGTTGTTAGTCATCAGATATCTATTTGGACTAGGATTTCTTGCATCTAATAAAAAGGGACATCCCTAGTCACATGAGAAAGGGCAAATGTTGGTGGCTTTTGATACCCCCAAAATCAAACTCTCAGTATTAATAATAGTCTGCCTTGCTCCTAGGTTTAAGGCACTAACATAACCTAATGAGGCATGTCCTTCCTCTGCTCATGGCACCACCCCTGGGGCAAAGCTGTGCATTTTAGAATCATGGATAAATCTTCCTATTCATAATCTCTCTTCTTGTTATAACTTCACTCTACCTATCATAACACAGAAAAGGAGCTCTAATCTAGTTAGACTTAGGTTTCACTCAACTAGGAGCAATTACTAGAAGACTCATATTCATACATCACTTATTTCTGTAGCAAGGGAGGAAGAGGAGCAGTTGCTGACAGAATGCCAACAGCACATGTGCCTCTTTTCTCTTCTGACCCCAACCCAACTTACAATCACTAAACTGAGGCGCAAATCTGAATGAGCACAAATCTAGCAGTAAACACTCAGGACTCAAAAACAAAAGAGAAGACGATGACTCAAAAACATACCTTGATGTAATATGAAAACCAATAATCAATTACCTGCAGGCATAGAGCATATTGGACATGAAGGTCACTGGGTTGGAACTTCTCGATGTGTCCATTACATAAATGACAATCGTTGGAAATGAGGATGCCTAAAGCCACAAAACAGTCAGAGTTTTAGCAAGAGGGCTAATGGCCTGTCCCCAGACTTTTCCCACTTTCCTTAGCAAGGGAGAACCACTTTAGGCAGGGTGTAGAGCTTCTGGAACTCCCTTCCACATAAGGTCCCAGGCAAGAAAAAGAGGCTTATCCAATCTAGCTCTCAGTAATAAGTCCTACAATACTCACCAGGGCCTCAGTGATGATTGTCCCAGAGGCTGACCAAGTGAATACTTCAATCTGTCCAGGTGTGTCAATCAAGACATATCTGAGTGAAGAAAGACCATTAAAGAAGTATTACACTTGTGCAATGCTGAAAATATTCTGTCACACAAAACATCAAACATCTGGTTACTCAAAATTGGGATAACCTCTTCACACTGCCAATTCTAACTTCCTCCCATTGCCTTTAAAGTGCATGCCACACTCCCCAGGCTTTGTTCAATGTCCACTATTCATGCTAACGGACAAGAGCGGCAGTCTATAAGTTACTGCAAATGATCACAGGGGAAACTGATAGTTATAGAAACACATTGCATTAAAAATGAGAGGGCCAGCTGAGTGGGATGCCAGAAGGCCCAGGTTCAGATCCCACATATGAGGGCCAGTGACACTGCCCTCTACAGCTAAGATGCTGAACAACAGCTCAACCTGGAGCTGGGCTGCAGTGAGTCGCCGGCATAGCTGCAGCCCCTGCTGCAGTGGGTTGCCATGGGCTACTGTGGGTAGCCAGCAGCCAGCCTGAGTGGCCAGCAGCTGCTGTGAGCGGCTGTCCAGAAGCCAGCGACTGATCTGCCTAGCTCGGGAAGAGCACAATGATGGTGCCAACTTGGGCCACAACTAGACTGAAGAACAAAAGGACAGCAACTTGTCTGTTCCCCTTCCCCGATTACCCAACGCTGTTCCCCTCCCCCAATTCCCCAATAAAATCTTTTTTTAAAAAAAAGAAAATTTAATTATGGGTAATGATAACAAGAACAAATGTTTTATTTTGATACTTTTTAAGTAAAAAACAATTATTCTCTCTGATTTATGTAAATTATATTCATTGAAACAAGGGTGAGAAAAGTGTTTCAAAGACTTTAATGCCAACAAGTATGGTTTCCCAAGAGAAAGCAGGCAGACAACTGAATTTGGACAAAGTTTCAAAATATCTCCTAAGAAGCCACGGGCATATACCAAAGTGATTGGGGAGGGATACTACTAAATATAACTCTAAACAGCAGCTTAATGATTTTCTTGCCTAGATTTTTTTCATGTCTAAGTTTCATCTCAATCTACACCCTTTCAGAGCTTGATGCTATCTCAAAATCCTTCATGAAGCCTAGAAATATGTCACCTACAGGGTAATAAAATGGCGCTAAAATGAAATCACTTACTTAGACATGTTCTGGGCCTTCTCAATAAATTTCATCACCTAAAAAGAAAAAGATGCCAGTTACAACAGGATCCGATTTCAACACAAAATCACAGGGCCTTACGCAGGCTGGGCTGCCTCAAGCTATTGAATCTTTGTGTTCTCCATCTTAGAACCAACCAATAAACTCACTGACCCAAAGAAACACAGCCATATCAGCAGCACTGCAACCCCCTGGAGCACACTGCAAGGACCCGAGAAGCTAAAGACTTGATCTATCACTTGCCAAGTCACTTCTCCTGGTGCTTTGGCAAAATGTTAAAGCCTGTCTTGTGGAGTGACACCAAGGTAAAACAAAACTAATCTCAAAATGCTCTTATAGAAGAAGGTGAGAAGAAACCTGAAAGCTGACAACTACTTGTCACTACAAGTTAAAAGTCCCATTATTTTTCCATTCCATGCCTGCTGGCCCATCTCAGTCCCTCTACTCCATCCTCAGGGTACCACTACAAGCCAATAACAGATCAAGAAATGAGCCTAGGTCTCCTGGCTTTTTGTTTTATTGGCTGTCACAAATATTAAATGCGAAGTGTTCATAACACTGATAACCCTCTCATAGCTCACTTCTCTACCAAAATGCCTATTTAAATAAATGCTTATTTATTTTCTATATTTATATCCAGGTTTATTGCTCTTCTTTCCCAAGGTTATCAAGCTAAGGCATTTAGAGTCACAGGTTTTTACAAAGTCATGCCTGTATAAGCAAAACAGATAGACATACCTGATCAAATCTGGTAGCAAAGAGATTGAGTGAGGTCACTATGCCACCATTGGGCCCCAGTCCATATCTAGACACTAAGTTGAGGATTTAAATTGCTTATAGATCAATACAGAAGATGAAGTTCATAACTAGGATATCAGTCACACAAACAGCATTATATTAGTGGTCCATTAATGGATACTAGCAAACTAATCCTTGACTAGTAACACACAACTTTAACTTCACAGGGAAACATTCATCACCAAGGTCTTCCTCATTTATTTATTGTTTTAGGGATGGCCAGGCAAAATGGAGAAATTAAGTGACCAAAACATAATAGATGTGTCAGGCAGTGACAACCTTCTAGCATTAGCAGTTAAGATCATCCAAATAACGCCCCTTGCTCTGACCCTCACTAATCAAGCAACCTGCTGATTATAATTAGTCTTCTGACCTAGATTTACCTACAGGGAAAGTTATATATTCAGAGTTGATTATACTCAACCTACTCATTTCTGAGTTTCCCAGTCTGAAGAGGTGGCGACCAAAGGATTTATCCTCCAAGGCAATACTACTTTCTGGGACCCAGGCACACTACCAGCTAGCCTCTCAATCTGAGCTCTCTAATTATAACAGCCAGCAGTCTGGGAAGATGGTAAAAAAACTATGAACACAAGCTAAAATAGTATTTCTAATCACCTACAATACTTCTCCCCACATTCATCTTCCACCTCCTAATAAAATTACTTTGAAGCAATCAAATGCTTTTGTTAGTTATGTTTCGCAAGGAAATGCAAAAACACTCTTTCAAAGCCACAAAATATACAGATGGTAACTAGTCAGGGATGAGTCAACACCAAAGTAGATGAAGAAAAGGATACTGTTTCATGACTTCTTTATACTTCACAGTGTCACGAATATCTGGGGGGAGAGGAAAGAAAGAATTAACTGGAATTCAACACATATGAAACAATATAGCATGAGACCCTCAACCAATAATATCCTAAGCCAATAGGTCTCTCAAGTCATCTCTGCTTCCTCTGAGGAAAAAAATTAAGTTTCTCTCTTGGCATCTGATTTATTTTTAAATTTATTTCCTAAATTTTTAAGCTAAGGTCATTGAATTGTGATAAAAAAAGAAGCAAGATTTTGAAGAGAAGAATTGAAGGGCAAAAGGTGCCCTAAACCTTCTCTACCAGCAAGAAGCTGAAACTAGCCTTTTAGGATTCTCTTCTAATAATTTCCCCCAGCTTCACACTGGTTTCCTCCCTTATAAAGGATAACTGCTAGGTAACCCAGGAAGAATGTTAGGCTAGGAGAGCTCAAGTTATGGTAGAGATGGTCTGAGACAAGGAGAAGTTTTATGCAACTTAATACCTTATCAGTGATAATATGCATAGAAAAAGGGAGCTAAATCAAGAAAATAAAGGTTTATTTCTTACTAACTCCCTCCTGGTAACAAAGGTAATGCAAATATGATTTTTAAAAGGAATTAATCTGTCCAGTAATATTTAACTAAACTTATCTGTCAACCTAACCCATCAACTATTGGAATTAGAATTCCATCTTTGAGTGAGATGAACAATTTTTTCCCAAATTCTTCTCAAAACAATCTCTGCTCTTGATACAAGGCCTTCCTTTATTAGTTTGTTTGGGGTACAAACAGCTTAATAGGGTTAAGAAGAGGTAAGGAAGAAGAGGATTAGCAAACAGTGATAACCTAAAAATCAGGAAACTTAGATCCTATCTAGAATCATGACATTGGATCACATCCATTCTTAATCTTTTTAGAGTCACAGATTCCTCTTAGTTTTATGATAACTGGGAACCTCTCCCCAAAATAATGTACATGTGCATATATACACACATTTTCGCATGTAACTTAAGAGAGTGGAAGCAAGATTCCTACAAATCAGTAAGTAAACTACCACACAAAAACCCTTATATTCTAACTTTGAGAAAAGAAACTAAAAAGGTATATGTATGTATATCAAAGCCTGCTGAAAGGTTTATGGCCTAAAAGTGAGAGGACTGACTTTCTGTCACTTCATTTTCCCAAATAACAACAGCCTGACAACCTAGGGTCAGAAAGAGGGAATAAATAATGCTGAGTGGTAAGGAAATACATTTAGGAAAGGGAAAGGAGTAAACAAAGAGAAAATGTAAATAAGGGAGAAGCTTGTTTAGGGATTCTAGCAAATCCAAGGTAAATAAAAGTAGACAGTTTAGAAAAAAAATGAAAGCATTAAAAATTGGCAGGCTGGGGCTGGCCAAGTGGCTCAGTTGGTTAAGAGTGCGAGCTCTGAGCGACAGGGTCACTGGTTTGATTTCCACATGGGCCAGTGAGCTGCGCCCAAGCTGAGCTGCCGCTGATCTGCCAACAGGTGGTAGGATGGCTCAGCTGGTGAGAGCATGTGCTCCTAACAAGGTTTCCAGTTCAACTCCCGCATGGGACGGTGGGCTATGCCCACCCACAACTAAGATTGAACACGGCACCTTGAGTTGAGCTGCCCTGAGCTGCCGCCTGGATGGCTCAGTGGTTAGAGCATGCGCTCTTAGCAACAAAGTTGCCGGTTTGACTATCACATGGGATGGTGGGCTATGGCCCCCTGCAACTAAGATTGAACATGGCACCTTGAGCTGAGAGGCAGAGAGCTGCCAACGGGTGGCCAGATGGCAACCGGACTTGGAGCTGCGCTAGCTGCGCCCTTCACAACCAAGATTAAAGGACAACTTGGCTGTTCCCCTTCCCCAATAAAATCTTAAAAAATAAAAAAATTGGCAGGCTGGAGGCTTTCCATTCTGAGGCAGTTTACTTACCAATATTGGCAGGAAAGGGAACTTCATGCACAGCTGGGTCCAGGTTGATTACATAAGGTGGAGAGTTTTGGCAATGCAGGTGTCCCGTGAGCCTCTGCAGCAATATGGGGAGAGGGATTCAGTGAGACAAAGAGGGCATGATAAGGGGACAAAGGACATTTCCCTCTATCTGAAACATTCACCTCCAACATTGAACTCTCAGTTGAAATGCTACCTTTCTTTATTATCCATTTAACAGAGCCTCCCCTACACTTGATCATTTATTTACTTGTTTTTTGTAGGGGTTTTTTTTCTGTCACTCCCACTATAACAGTACTTTCCTGAAAGCAGGAACCTTGTCAACCTCATTTTCACTGAACGTCCAAACCTGTACAGTTTATAAGCGTTTATTTGACAACAATGACCAGGAAGCAAGATCTCAAATTCTCCTGAGAATTGCAGTTTTGCAGTTTCTTTTATGCATTTGGAATTAAGGAGGTAAACATAAGGAAGATTAAATAAGTAAAGGTGGGAGAAAGCAAGTGGGGGATCAGATTACAGGATAATTAATAAGATTACGCACTCTCTTGAAAAAGAGGCATTTCAAAGGTGTGTTGTTAACCAACCTAGATGCACAAAAACAATGGACATGGCTTGCTTAAGGCAAAGATACACCTTTTACTAAAGAAGTTATATGCCTGGGGCCATGACTACCCATCAAGACCTGCCCAGTTAGGAATTTATGATCAGATCACCCTGAGAGGTAACTTTCGGTTAGGCTTATTACAGTACCCCTTTTTCATCCATATGTGAAATATTATATAATGGGCACGCAAGACATACGTAATTCTTTAGCAAACGACACCGAACGTCTGTGCGGTAGTACTGTACTAATCACCAGTTACTTGTAAGCCTCTGCCTCCCAGGAGTTGGCAACATTATCGCTAAGGCAATTCCAGTACAACTAGTTAAGCTGTACCAAGTATGCACCGAGAGTGTGCAAATGGGAGCGTTAATTAACCCAGACTAGGGTCCGAGAAGGCTTCGCCCAGGAAGGAACCGGAGATGCTGGCAAGTCCCCAAAGCCACGCGCCAGTCCCCTCTGACTCCCTCCCATTCTCCCTGGCCCTCCACCCGCCGCAGACAACCTCTCACGCACACCAACTATGCCCGCGCCGTGTATGTCACCTGTACGAAGGTGGTTTTCCCAGATCCCGCCATTCCCAACACCAACAAACACACTGGGGGTCGAGGACCCGCCGAAGCCTGCGGCTCAGCGGCCGCTGCGGAGGCCGCCATCTTTCCCCTGGTCCCGCCCACTCTACCATAGCGACGCGGCGCGGCTAGAGAGACTTCCGCAATGCTCGGGGCTGCGAACGAGGGTAGAACTGAGCCAGCCGGAAAGGGAAGCGCGAACGGGCGCCAGAGCATCTTCCTGTCCCGACCTGGCTCGGGGGCCAACTAGTGACAATGGCGGGGAAGTGGAGGCTCTGGGAGGAGCACAAGAGGGGGCCCGAAAAATTGGAGCTCAAGGTCGTAGGGTTGGGCCTGGGAAGGGCAAAGCTCTGGTTCCCATGGAAACAAGATGACACAGGATCCCGAGGGCAGGGCGAGCACAGTGCGAAAAAGACAGTGAGTTTCCCTTGCCGCCCACAAGGAGCGGGAAACAGAGGCGCCAGAGAACCGAAGGCTCAGGTGTATTCGGCCAAGGAAGTTAAGCAGCTCAGGGCTGGGCCGGCCAGGACTGCGGTGGGGTGGGACCCCAGGGGTTGCTGTGCAGCGCCGAGACCCGTTGAACACAGAACCAAGAAATTGCTAAAACTTTCCTCACGGGGACGCCGTATCCGTCTGTCGCAGTCCCCTGACACTATCTCCTTGGCAGTCACCCTCAGTGAACTACAGCAAGACCTGGGGGATAAACGCTGGGATTCCTGTCGCAAGTAGGTGCTAAAGGGGTGCTTCCCTCCACGGAAGCGAACTCGGAAACCGAAAAGGTGGTGCAAGAGCCGAGAAATTTATTCCTGCTCCCGACCACCGAGTCTGTTCTTGTCCTTTGTAGCTGTTCACTAGAGTCGTAGGTCTAGGATTCACACCTTGGCTCTGCCACTTGCTAGCTATGTGAATCGTGGCCAAGTCATAAATTCTCTGAACCTGTTTTCTCCTCTTTAAAGTTGTGATAATACCTCACAGGGTGGTACTGATTGCGTACTGTAAATTGTAAAATACTCTCCCTCATCTTTACCCCTGGTTATATCATACCCTGTGCCTCGCAGTGTCAGGAACACAATATGTGCTCAAAATATTTTCTTGTATGAGTTCAAGTACAATTGTGCGTTTTGTTTTTCCTAAATTTTAATTAAGAACTGATGGGGGAATGTCTCACTTGTTTTTCCTTCAGGTTTGCTGAGGACTCCAGTGGTCCCCCTCCACCGTATCTCACTTTCATAAATAATTTTTTCAAGCCAGAGAAGCCAACAACAGCAGCGATGAGGCTTAAAGAAACGACCGTGGAACTGATGACGCTGGACAAGCAAATAAAACAAGCTCAAATTCGGCAAGTACCGCTAATGAAGGAAACTTGGCAGCTACTCACTGAAAAGTTACAAGTCCAGGATGAAAATAAATTCTTTCTGGAATACCTGACCAACGAAACTGAGAAGTACAGAGGGCAATTTGAGAAGCTGTGGAACAACTATTTACAAAGAAGTGGGGCGATTGAAAGAAAGAGACAAGAATCCGCCTCCAAACATGCGAAACAAACTTCAGAGCTTAAAACAGAGGTCTTGCAGAAGGAAAAGATCCAATCCGATTTGAAGCAGCAGTTGCAGGTACTGAGGGACGTTTCACTATTAAAAGAGAAACAGGAGCAAGCCATAAAGGCATTAGAGGAGGAGAAAAAGCAAGTCCAAGCTGAGACAGCTGCAAAGAAACAGGAAGTCCAAGTCCAGTACCTCCAGGAAAAAGCATTACTGGAGAAACAACTGAGTGAGCCAGACGTGAGGCAGTTGGGAAAGAGAAAACAAAAGCTTAACAGGAAGACCCAGGCCTTGGAGTCGGCAGCAGAGAATTATGCTTTTGAGTTCTACCGCGGTGTCTGCAGAGAGAACCAGCAGTTACAGAAGGAATTACTGCAGCAAACTTGGCAGTGCCAGAAGTTGCAGGCTACTCAAAGACAGTTCAAAAATCAGAAGCAGCAGCTGCAGCAAGAACAGTGGTATGTGGAGAGTTTAATCCGGGGGAGGCAGCGACTGCAAGGCATGCGCCAAAGACAAGGACCCCCTCCCTTAGGCACCAAAATCAAGGATGAATCCACAGTAATTCCTAACATATGATTGATGAAATAAGGACTAGAGCAAATATTCTTAGGTGCTGCGTAACAGGAAGGCTTTGGGATCTCATTGCTATGGTAAAATAGCCATGATGTTTTCGTGTGAAGGTTGGCCAAGGAAGATCTGTCTTTTTGTCTGCTTTACTATGAAGGAAATGAAGCAGGGTGATGTTACAGAAAGTGTGTTCAGGTGGGAAAGACCTCTGAGGTGAAATTTAGGTTGAGACTTGAATGATAAAATGAAGTATACAATGCAAACGGGGGGTAAAAATCATTCCAAGTAAAGGGAACAGTGAATGCAAAGGCCCTAAAATGGGAATGAACTTGGCTAACATGTAGTTGGGGAATGGTCAGAGAACATGGGTAGAGCAGAGGAAGATGAGGCTCAAAGATCAGCAGTAGGAACACAAAGGGCCTTATAGGATAAGTAAAGGGAGTCACTTATTCTAAGTGCACTGAGAAACCATTAGGCTTTCAGCAGGTGAACAAAGTCTGATTTACAGTTTTAAAAACTCACTACAACCTTCTTATGTGGAGTATCCAAGCCAGTAAAAAGCAGAAGAAACCAATTAAGAAGCTACTGTAGTCTAGGCAAGAGGTGATGATGGTTCCAACTGAGATGGTAGAAACAGACGTGAAGACATGGGATCAGACTATTGTTGGGTGGTGGGAAAATCAAAGGTTAAGATGAAGCAGAAGAAAATTTTCTAGTTTTCCCTTTGAAGGAGATAAGCAGAATATATTTTTTTGATTGTGTGAACTGATTTTTAAAATAAAATATTTCAGACATACAAAAAAATGTAAAGCTATGAGAAATTCACTATCCACCTTAAGAAATAAGAACTTCCAAACTCACTTGTAGTCCCTCTGGATCCCAGCACTATACTAAATTTGGCGTTTATCATTCCTGTGCATGTTCACACTGTTTACATATATTAAAATATAAACATAATAAATATATTTGTATATACTATACTTTTATATTTACACAAATCCATAAACAATATAGAGCATTTTTGCATGTTTTTAAATCTTATATAAATGGTACACTTGATGTATTCTGTAACTTGCTTTTCCCAGACATTATTTTTGAGATGTATTCATGATACAAGAAGCTCTAATTAATTTCATAGCTGTATAGTATTCTACTATAGGACTATGTCACAATTTTTTTTTTTTAAGATTTTATTGGGGAATTGGGGGAAGGGGAACAGACAAGTTGCTGTCCTTTCGTTCTTCAGTCTAGTTGTGGAGGACGTCGCTTCACTGGCCCATGTTGGTATTATCATTACGCTCTTCCCGGGTAAGGCAGTCACTCACCAGCCATTGTACAGCAGCTCACGGAAGCTCACGCCCACTGCGGGCCAGCCCCACTGCAGCCTACGCCGGCCGGCGACTCATAACAGCCCAGCTCCAGGTCGAGGTGTTCACCATCTTAACTGTAGAGACACAGCATCACTGACCCTCATGTGGGATCCGAACCGGGACCCTGCTGCTCAGAGCTGGCATCCCAAGCCAACTAACCAACACACCACTCGGCCGGCCCAAACTATGTCACAATTTATTTTCTCCTGATGATGGTCAATTAGGTTATGTATTAGAGTAGGCTAACAAAGAGACCCAGGAATGTATGTCTCAAATAACAGGCATTTATTTCTTGCTCATCTAATAGTTCGATAGATGTTCCTGGTTGGCAAGTAGTCCTCCACAGGGTGATTCAGGGAATCCACTCTCTTCCATTTTATGCTCTGCCATCCCCTGGGGCCCCATCATCATGTGCATCTAACCCAAGGAAAGGGAAAACAAGCACGGTGGTACACTCACTCAAAACCTGTGGTATGGAAGTGACACATCACTGCCACTCATATTCCACTGGAGAGTTGGCTACCCCTTCCCTATGGTGAAAGACTGGGAAATGTGGTCTAGCCATTTGTCTTATAATCCCATAATTTTGCAAGTTGAGAGCAGATTTTGGTGGACAGCTAGTAATCTCTGCTACATGTTTCCAGTATCAGTTATAAGCTGGACTGCAATAATCATTCTTGTTTATGTCTCCTGGTACACCTGGGCAAGAGTATATATATATATATAATCTAGAAGTGAAACTGCTGAGTTTTAGGGCACATCTTCAATTTTGCTAGCTACTGTCAAATCATTTCCCAAGTGATTGTATGAATTTACACTCCAAACAATGCATTGGAGTTCAAATAGCTCCAAAGCCTAGCTGTACCTGATACTATCAAACTTAAGTTTCTGTTATTCTAATGAATTTAAAAACTGAAAAACTCAATAGTATGATCAGGATAGTCTATACTGAGTCCTGCTGATCACTGGCCTCAGGAAGAAAAAAAAGGAGTGCCTGCCAGGGCCCTGAATGAGACTGGGCAAGTTTCCTATGCTAATTCACTTTCATCTCAAATTATTCATTTTAACCGCAGATTTTAAGAGCTAAAGAATGACCGATTTTTGGTTAAGAGAATGTAAAAGTACCATTTATTGCTATCATATCTACTAATACATTGGTGAAATCAATAAAGAATCTACATTAAAAAATAAAAAAGAATGACCGAGACAACTGCATTTGGTACTTATTTCAAACTCATTCCCGTCCCTAGCCATCTTCTTACCTCCATACACTGTATCAGCAAGGAGTCAAGTAGCGGGTCAGTCAATGATCAACTGGAAACATCAATCTAACGGAGAGTTGTTTATTTCTTTTGTCATTGCCAAACATTTCCCAAGTCTTACGCACCAGAAATTAACATAGCTTCTTCACTTCTCCTCCCTGACAATCCTTATCTACTGAAAGGGCTCTAAGGGCACAAATGCCAATGAAAATATAGAGTGGATCGATCATACCATGTCCTTCACTTGTTTCAAAATTACCTATTTGGGCAATACCCAAATAAGTCTTCAGTGCCCCCTTATCTGAAAGTGGTCTTCACAAAAGCCCACATTTAAAAGCTCTATGGAGGAGCACACATCAATTAGAGTGGTAACAGCCTTTCAGAATTTGAAAAGGTAGTGCTTGTCAATATCAGGGTTAAGGGTCCCTTGCATTTTATATGGCATATGCCACAAAAATTGGCAAGAATATATAAGACCAATATGTATGGAAAAGGGGAAGAGAATCCAGAAACACAACAGAGCTGCTCTAACTGATGCTCCCAAGAAAGTCAGCCTCAGAGAGAAAACAGCCCATTAGACATTATCAGGTAGGCGTGAGGGACAGAAAAAGAATATTTCTTTCCAACTCCAGATAACTATCTACATCTGGTGTCCAAGTCTCAAGACGTAAAGAGGATAGAACACACACAAAAGAGGAGCGAGGGCAATATTCTCAGACAATTCAGACAGAGGTTGACTACAGGGAGGGGTGACGATGCAGCTGGGTGTAGACGGACGAGCGAGGTCAAGGCCAGGAGGGAAGGAACGTGCACCTCGGCTAGCTACCGATCTTCGTGGCTTTACCAGAACAGTGGGATTGTGTCAAAACATCAGGGTCCATCAGTGTGGTCTTTCTCAATCCTTAAAACTGAAGGAGCAGAACAAGCTTCGGGAGAGCACTGATTATAGCGACCAATGCAGCCCCAGGAAAGCTGAGGCAGTCTTTATTGCTGCTTCTATTTTCTTCTAGTTGTTTTAATGTTTGAGACACATTACTCCCCAGGCTGCTTTCCATGCCTGTGGGTCTAGTTAATCACTGCTACTTGGGACAAACGAAGCAGTTCCCAGTAAACTAGTGGAGGGGCGTTCTAGCCTTTTCATCCTAAGTCCATTTTCTTACTTTCAACCCTAAAACCATACTGAGAAAACAAACAGCCTCCATATAATTTGCTTCCTGAAGAGACGGGATAACCTTATTATATATGAGTGACAACATTTCCAGCTTCTAGGCTTGTAAATATCACAAACACAAAATGATTAATCAGTACGGTTTTTTTTTAAATTAATTTGGAATTGTTTTTAAGCTAGATGATGTTTTGTGACTACTAAATCAATGGAGTTTCCAAGAACATTCTACACCCCAGGAAGGAAAGAACAACCAAACAGGTTTCTTAGACTTGTACAGGGCAAGAGGGGCCTATAGCTGGCCTTAAGAGGGGCTCTTTGGGCAAGATAAGAGAAAAACGAGAGGACTCCAACAAGAAATAGCAGGGAAATCTACCAAAAAGGGTGGTAATGGGAGTGGAAGGGGGGTGGTCAAAGTGAATTAGTAGGGAAAACCGTGAAATTTATACAGAAGGAAGGAGCTGAGACAGTCACAGCCTCACACAAACAGCTGAAAGAGTACATTTTTCTTCCTCAGCCCCCATGACCCAGTCCTTCCAGCACAGGTCCCCGTGACAACAGCATCGCACCCACTCTCCTAGGAGCACATTCACACTGACTGCCTACTTCCTTCCTCGTTTATGATTCGTCTTTGGGGGCTTTACTTTCTGGAACTGTGCTGGCACTGGCCCCTGCTCTGGTTCTTTACAGGAGGTCGATACTAGCAGTTCCTCATTATTCCTCCTCTGCTCCTTCCCTACTCTAAGGCTCAGCTCTGCCTCAGGAAGCTCGGTGCAAGCCTGCTGCCGCCTTCGCAGAGACCTTCTGCTCCTGTGCTGCTGCCTCCGCTTTTCTTCTTCTTGCTGCCGCTGCTTTATCTTCATAAGCTTTTCAAAACTTTTGGTTGTTGTTGGGTTTACAACAAACCAGTCCTACAGAGGCAAAATAGAAACATCATCCAGTCAAAACACAGTGGAGAGCACACAGAAGGGGTATGGTAAGAATTTTCTTAAGGGGCCGGCCAAGTGGCTCACTTGGTTAGAGCACCAGCTCTGAGCAACAGGGTCGCCGGTCTGATTCCCACATGGGCCAGTGAGCTGTGCCCAAGCTGAGCTGCCAACAGGTGGCAGGATGGCTCAGCCGGTGAGAGCACGTGCTCCTAACAACAAGGTTGCCAGTTTGACTCCCGCATGGGATGGTGGCTACGCCCACTGGCAACTAAAATTGAACACAGCACCTTGAGCTGAGTGGCCGCAAGCTGCTGACGGGCCACCAGATGACGACTAGACTTGGAGCTAAGCTAGCTGCGCCCTCCACAACTAAGATTAAAGGACACCTTGTCTGTTCCCCTTCCCCAATTCCCCAACACTGTTCCCCTTTCCCAATTCCCCAATAAAATCTCTAAAAAAAACAAAAGTGATCTACAAAGTCTGTTTATTTAGTATCATCCTACCTATTTACCTCCTATGTAAAGATGTCATGAGATGTCAAGCTTTGGGCCATAGGAGATTTTTATTTCATGACAGTATAAAGGTTAACAGCATAAATTTTTCAGGCAGACTACCTGGGCGCAAATCCCAGCTGTTTCTAGCTCTGTGACCACGGGAAAATTACTTAACCTCTCTGAGCCTCAGTTTAAAAAATTAAGGGTTGGGAGACATCAAATCCAATTATGAAGTATTCGTGAAAAAAAAAAAAAAAATGAATGTCAATCTAAACCAAGTGATCTGATCAGTCTTCTAAGTCTAACTACCAATTTATAAGAAATACCCAGAACAGAAGATCACCACCATGG